TGTGTGTTTATAAGGTGTATGTTAAAAGCTTTACAGCTAAAAAACAAACTCAGGAAAATAGTAACATAAATCAGATGATCACAGTTATCTAATTACAGATTGATTTATTGGTTTAAAATATTGGCTCACCAAAAATTTTTTAACAATAACATTTTTCATGCTTATTTATTCCATTCTGGTGATACTGCTGAAAATAATGGATATATTATACGAAACTTGCTTTTTAGTACATGTTTCAGAATATTACATATAAATTTAATCTCATCTGCTTTCCAGCTTCTTTCTTTTTCTGAAGTCTGCTCTGGGCTTTCCATTGGCAAGAACTCCTAAGACTTCTGTTTTCACTTACTCTCGATGAAGAAATATAGCAGAGGAGATCACTTTTTTTTTTTTAAGTCAAAGAATACTATTTTTGGTGGGAAAGACTGCCTCCCCCCTGAACTCATTTAAGTCTGAATTCTAATTTTAGGGATATCCTTAAAGTAAGGATGACTGTTCAAAACTCTGGGTCCAGTGTGACTTTACTTCATGTTCTCGTCAGTTGCACCAAGCAGACCAGCTGAAGGGGCCAGGCTGGGCTCGGTGCTGAGAGAAGCCGCTTGGCAGGGAGTGCTTGGAAAGGTAGCAGGTCCCTGCAGGTGACAGGGACGCAGGGACACAGCTGCTCGGTCGCCAGGCAGGCAGCAGCCCCATTGCTGTCCAGTCTTCCTGTTTCTCAAGAGAAGATACATTGATTTTTATGTTAAATCTTACTGTTCTTTGACATCAGCTTTTTTTTTCCCCCCCCAAAAAACATGGTCCAGATGCCACATGGGTCAAACACCACTGGTAGGGACCAGCTGTGTTTGAGGCCCACAGTGGGTCCCCTCTGGTCTTCAGACTTCAAACTCAGTTGCACATTGGACATGTAGACTATGACTTGAAATTGCATCTTCGACAACTGTCACTGCCTTTTCACCTTGCATTTACGGACTTGGATGCTTTGTTCTAAACTGTGACATGGGCTCGTTGATTACAAGCTTCTTGAGGGTATGAAACTCAACTGTGCCTCATTCTGACTGAACTTCGTGTTCCTCAGCCTTGTCCCCTTCAGCAGGCAAGAGCTGAAGTCAGTGTCACCTGTCCCCGAAAGGGGGTTTGGTGAGGCTTTCCTGCCTTCCCTCACCCCTGTCCCAGGGCCACTCCCCCCTACTGTTTGTCCCAGCGCTCCTGATCCTGCACCTTCACTGGGAATCTTGGCTTTACAGCATCATGTGAACACGTCTTACCTTCCCTGCTATACTGCAGACCTTTGGGGGCAGAAATTTTGTTTCTGTAATGGTGCTGGATTTTAGTGTCAGCTTCCAGACCTGGTTCTGGCTGGTGGATAAAAACCATGTGAATATCCTCTGAGACGATTTTCCAGTGTTTACTCGTGTGCCTTTCAAATTTGTTATCACAGGGACAAATAGGATGTTCCTTATTCACTAAATAAGGTACAAAAATATATATAGGTTCCAGGGTCTCACCCCAGCTGTTCCAAATGAGAATCTCGGCAGGGGCAGAGTAGGGGGACTCTATAAATTCTGTACTATATTAAAGCTTCCCAGGTGATTCAGATGCATAGCCAGGTTCGAGAACTTCTATCCAAAAGCATAAAGTAGGTATTCAGTAAATCTCTGTTCCAAGGAGAAATGAACTCTTGTCTTCCTATAGCACTCAGCCAATATTCAAGAAATGATGGTCAAGAGAGTTAAATTCTGAATTCACATACTAATTCTCCCCATCTCACCTTCTTAGGTGGGGCTGAGGCAGTCTACTCCTTCCCAGGTTCTTAAACTGTCTGGGGTAGATGGATTAATTCTTACCTGGACTAGAGGATGGTCACTAGCTGGTTTGCAACCAGCTGGCCTCCCTCTAATCATCTCCATGTGCTGAAGCCTCAGTGATCCTGAGTGATTTAACTCAAATCTGATGATAACTTTTAATGATAACTATGGTAACGATAACCCTATATGCAAAACAGAAAAAGAGACTCCGATGTATAGAACAGACTTGTGGACTCTGGGAGAAGGCGAGGGTGGGATGTTTCAAGAGAACAGCATCGAAACACGTATATTATCTAGGGTGAAACAGTTCACCAGCCCAGATTGGGTGCATGAGACAAGTGCTTGGGCCTGGTGCACTGGGAAGACCCAGAGGGATCCGGTGGAGAGGGAGGTGGGAGGGGGGACCGGGATGGGGAATACATGTAAATCCATGGCTAATTCATCTCAATGTATGACAAAAACCACTGCAATGATGTAAAGTAATTAGCCTCCAACTAATAAAAATAAATGAAAAAAATAAAAAATTAAAAATTAAAAAAAAATAATGATAACTAGTACTTACAATATAAAACTTGCTGTGGGGAGTCCACTAGAGCCTGTTATGAGATGGTCTGACCGTTTCAAGCTTCCCAGGTGGTGCTAGTGGTAAAGAATCCACCTGCCAACGCAGGAGACACAGGATTCCAGTCCTGGGTCAGGAAGATCCCCCGGAGGAGGAAATAGCAACCCACTCCAGTATTCTTGCCTGAAAAATCCAATGGACAGAGGGGGCTAGTGGGCTGCAATCCATAGGGCCGAAAAGAGTTAGACATGACTGAGTGACTGAGCACACACAACCCTTCCAAACAGGAGAAAAAGATATGAGAAGGGAGGGAAAGGGGCCTAGAAAAGAGGGACCTCACGGAAGACCAAAAAAGTAGGTAGGTCATTGATCTGTAAGCCAGTGAAGGATAGACTCTGGCAATCCATTCAGGGGTGACCCTTTCTCTCTTCAGGGGTGCAGAGGGGGCCATAAAGATTCCTTTTTATTCAATTTTATTTAAAGACTTAGTCCCCCACATCCCTGGAAAAGATTCATGGAACGTTACAAGTAAAGGCAGGTAAAACAAGAGTAGAAGAGCTATCACTAAATAAAGTGAGACAGTGGTCACACCAGAAACCCAGGCTCACGGTGGCTACAACAGTCGACGGTAAATGTCAGTTCTAAGCTTCCTCATTTCGAGAACTAAAAGAGAAATGTGGTGAGTGCATTGTTCTCATTATCTGGATAATGGAGAATTTGTTAGTAGAAATGCACTTTTTCCAGTGGCTGAATGAAATAAAAGAAGTTATCAAATGGATTCTTGTATAAAGGACACTAACATAATGGGCATAGCTCATAATTGCTTTACAAAAAGGTAAAAAGAGAGGCTTTATGTGGCCATCTGGTCTTTCCGACTGAATGAATGCCACGAGCTAAATGTTATACTCCAGTGCTAGGAAGACATGGCCACTGGGAGTTAAAGAGCGGCAAGCTGTATGGGCTTTCTGGACATCACTTGATCAGAGAGAGAGACTTGATGAACAGCAGCTGAGTAGTATGTCTTTTAGACCAGAGTGGGTATTTTGGCCAGGGCACTACAGGGAGTGATCTCTTAGTATATAGTGAAATTAGTTTGGTGAGTTGCTGTTAGCATTTTTTAAGTGAAAGATAATAGAACAGGACAGACAGCATCACACCTCTAAAGGGAAAGTTTTAGTTTCACTTTTGTCTCGAGTCCCTATGCACCGTGTATTTTTTACTGTAGGTAGCTATGAAAGCTGGTGTTTTGGACTGTCCCTCACTAGAATAGTAGTGGGTAGGCTCTGGCCAACCCAGGCTCATTATAGAACATAGAGAATAATAAGACCTGAGTACAACAGGAGTGGGATCCTCAGACCAGAACAAGAGCCATCATGCCTTTAAATTGTGCTAATTTAAGAACCTGTGACTAGACAGTATTATAAACTCAGAAACATACTTCCCTGGTTTTGTGTTTTGTTTCCATTTTGGTTGCATTTAGTACCTCGCAGAGTTACTTTTGAACACCCCAGTCTACTATGGCTATGATAAAAGGGAAATCAGAGGAATGAGATGAGTCCCCATACGGGACAGTAGTGCAGAGGGCAGGGGGCCCCTGGTGGTCAGACTCAGTCATGCAGACCAAGACTTTTCTCTGAGAGACCCTTCAGAGCCACAAATGAGGAATGACTCCTCCAGTTCTTTCTTCTTCTCTGAGCAGCCAATAACTTTAGTTACAGATACTGCTTGCTTTGGCTTCCCCAGTGGCTCAGCAGTAAAGCCTCCACCTGCAATGCAGGAGACTCTGGGTGGGGAAGATCCTCTGGAGCAGAAAAGGGCAACCCACTCCAGTATCCACTCCAGTATTCTTGCCTGGGAAATCCCATGGACAGAGGAACATGGTGGGCTACAGTCCTTGGGGTCACAAAGAGTCAGACATGACTGAGTGCACACACACACACACACACACACACTGCTTAGTTAAGGAAAACTTTTAAAAAATAATTTTCTTGCTTCATGAACTAAAGTGAAAGTGAAAGTCACTCAGTTGTGTCCGACTCTTTGCGACCCCATGGACTATATAGTCTATGGAATTCTCCAGGCTGGAATACTGGAATGGGTAGCCTTTCCGTTCTCCAGGGGATCTTCCCAACACAGGGATAGAACCCAGGTCTCCTGCATTGCAGGCTGTGTTTGGATCAAATCATTAGGGTGGATCATCAGAAATAGATAGGAGTTTTGTGATGGGACCATGACATTGCCTGATTCTAAGAATTCAACACAGCAGCCCTGAGTGATGATGAGACCCTTAACATTTATCGGGGAACCTTCTCCCCCCAAATTTGGACATGTATATGTAGCCTACAACTTTGGAGAAAGTCAGAGAAAAAGTTCTGGGAGGATTTCCAACTATAACAACTATGAGCAATGGTATGAGAAACAGGCTGGGGCAAGATAAAGATTAAGCTTCTAAGGTTGACTCCAAGTCTTTGGAGCAACAACAAAATGAGATTAAAAAGAAACAAAGACCACAAAACCCTGTATTTTCATACAAAAAATAAGTTTTTCAAAGAAATCAAAAATAGCCTATAAACCAAAGAGCTCCTTGTGGAAGGACCTTTATCTCTGACCACTTCTCTCTCTTCTTTTAGATGACAGTCATGTCCCTTTCCAGGGACCTCAAGGACAACTTACACAGCGACACAGTGCTCTCCATCTTAAATGAGCAGCGCATTCGGGGCATTTTGTGTGATGTCACTATCATTGTGGAAGACACCAAGTTTAAAGCCCACAGCAATGTCCTGGCTGCTTCAAGCCTTTATTTCAAAAACATCTTTTGGAGCCATACCATCTGTATTTCCAGCCACGTCCTGGAGCTGGATGATCTCAAAGCTGAAGTGTTTACAGAAATTCTCAATTATATCTACAGCTCCACAGTCGTCGTCAAGAGACAGGAAACTGTCACTGATCTCGCAGCTGCTGGGAAAAAGCTGGGAATATCCTTCTTGGAAGATCTTACTGATCGCAACTTCTCCAGTTCCCCGGGTCCCTATGTATTCTGCATTACCGAAAAGGGAGTGGTCAAGGAAGAAAAAAATGAAAAAAGGCATGAAGAACCAGCCATCACTAACGGGCCAAGGATCACAAATGCATTTTCCATCATTGAAACAGAAAACAGTAATAACATGTTCTCTCCACTGGACTTGAGAGCAAGTTTCAAAAAGGTCTCCGACTCCATGAGAAACACCAGCCTCTGCCTGGAGAGGACTGACGTCTGCCACGAGGTGGAGCCTGTGCGCACCCTCGCCGAGCACTCCTATGCCGTGTCTGCCGTGTCTGCCGTGTCTTCCGTGGCTGAGGCTTACAGAAGTCAGCCTGCCCGGGAACAGGACAGCAGTTCACCTGCAAAAACAGGGAAGGAGAACTCCGAAGCTGTTGCAGCAAAACCGAAAACATGCCGAAAGCCAAAGACACCCTCCGTACCCCAGGAATCAGATTCCACTCCAGAAAATATACCAGCCCCTCCAGAAAGCAACTTGGAGGTGCCTCAAGAAGAAACTCCACAGCCAGCTGCAGTTCTTTCCCTTGCAAAATCTCCCAGCCACAATGAAGGAGAGGTCCAATTTCCCAGGGCGGAGGAAAATAAATCCTCTGATGTCCCTGGGCCACCAGCCGCTGAGGTGCCGCCTCTCGTTTACAACTGCAGCTGTTGTTCCAAATCTTTTGAGAGCAGCACTTTGCTCAGCGCCCACATGCAGCTTCACAAGCCGACCCAGGAGCCCTTGGTGTGCAAGCACTGCAACAAGCAGTTCAGCACCCTCAACAGGCTGGATCGGCACGAGCAGATCTGCATGAGGTCAAGCCACATGCCCGTTCCTGGAGGGAATCAGCGCTTCTTAGAAAACTATCCCACCATTGGACAGAATGGAAGTTCATTCACAGCTCCAGAACCTTTATTAGCTGAGAATAGGATTGGTGACTTTTCCAGTCCCGGGAGCACGCTGCCAGAAACAGAACACATGGTTAAATTTGTTAATGGGCAAATGCTCTATAGCTGCGTTGTGTGCAAACGCAGTTATGTGACTTTATCCAGCCTCCGAAGACATGCAAATGTTCACTCCTGGAGGAGAACATATCCTTGCCATTACTGCAACAAAGTGTTTGCTTTGGCTGAGTACAGGACAAGACATGAGATTTGGCACACAGGGGAAAGGCGGTATCAGTGCATTTTCTGTCTGGAGACGTTCATGACCTACTATATACTCAAAAACCACCAGAAGTCTTTCCATGCCATCGATCATAGACTTTCCATCAGTAAAAAAACAGCAAATGGAGGCTTGAAGCCTAGTGTCTATCCATATAAACTTTACAGGCTCCTGCCCATGAAATGCAAGAGGGCTCCTTACAAGAGCTACCGACATTCTTCCTATGAAAATGCTCGAGAAAACAGTCAGCTGAATGAGCCTGCACCTGGTCCCTATGTTATTCAGAATCCACACAGCTCTGAATTACCTACTCTGAATTTCCAGGACAGTGTAAACACCTTGACCAACAGTCCAGCCATCCCATTGGAAACACCAGCACGTCAGGACGTGCCCACTTCGGCCAGTATACAAAACGCAGAGGGTACCAAATGGGGCAAGAGGGGAGAGTTGAAAGTGGATCTGGACAATAACTTTTATTCCACAGAGGTGTCTGTTTCTTCCACTGAAAACGCTGTCAGTTCGGACCCCCGGGCAGGGGATGTGCCTGTTTTGGCCGTGAGTAATGGCAGTGAGAACTCCACTTCTGTGATCAGCTACAGTGGCTCAGCCCCCTCGGTCATCGTGCACAGCAGTCAGTTTTCATCGGTGATAATGCACAGCAATGCCGTTGCTGCCATGACCAGCCGCAACCCCAGAGGAGCCCCTTCAGATCAGACTGTCAGTCAGACCCCAAAAGAGGATGGCAAGCCCACTGAGCCAGACAAAGTTGGGAGGGCCGTCAGCAGACCCAAGAGCATGAAGGAGAAAAAGAAAGCTGGCCCATGTAACAGGGGAGAAATACCAGAGGAGTCCAAATTCACTGCTGATCCTGGAGGCTCACTGGGCAAAACTACAAATACCATGAAAGAAATGAGTAAAATTGAAACCTACATAGCAAAGCCCGCTCTCCCAGGAACCTCCACAAACAGCAACGTCGCGCCCCTTTGTCAAATAACGGTGAAAATCGGGAATGAAGCCATTGTGAAGAGGCACATCCTCGGCTCTAAACTGTTCTATAAGAGAGGGCGGAGACCCAAATACCAAACGCAGGAGGAGACGCTGCCCCAGGAGAGCGACCAGGAAGCCAACGGAGACAACCCTCTCGGGCTCTGCCAATCCGAGTGCATGGAGATGAACGAGATGTTTGACGATGCCAGTGACCAGGATTCCACAGACAAACCGTGGCGCCCGTACTACAACTACAAACCCAAGAAGAAATCCAGACAGTTGAGAAAAATGAGGAAGGCCAACTGGAGGAAGGAGCACGAAAACAGGAGCCCGAGCAGTAAGTGTAGATACCCGGCCGACCTGGACTGTGCGGTGGGCAAGGCTCCGCAGGAGAAGGCCTTCGAGGAGGAGGAAAACAAGGAGATGCCTAAGCTGCAGTGTGAACTCTGCGACGACGGAGACAAAGCCTCGGGGGCCGGGAGCCAAGGGAGGCCCCACCGGCATCTCACGGCCCGGCCTTATGCATGCGAGCTCTGCGCCAAGCAGTTCCAGAGCCCCTCCACCCTCAAAATGCACATGCGGTGCCACACGGGAGAGAAGCCATACCAGTGCAAGACCTGTGGCCGGTGCTTCTCCGTGCATGGCAACCTCCAAAAGCATGAGCGCATCCACCTGGGCGTGAAGGAGTTCGTCTGTCAGTACTGCAACAAGGCCTTCACATTGAACGAGACCCTCAAAATCCACGAAAGGATCCACACGGGAGAAAAACGATACCACTGTCAGTTCTGCTTTCAGAGTTTTTTGTATCTGTCCACGAAAAGGAATCATGAGCAGAGGCATATCAGGGAGCATAATGGGAAGGGCTATGCCTGCTTCCAGTGCCCCAAAATTTGCAAAACAGCTGCTGCCCTGGGAATGCACCAGAAGAAACACTTGTTCAAAAGCCCCAGTCAGCAGGAGAAAGCAGAAGGTGATACAGGCCACGAAAACTCCAATCCCCTGGAGAATCCACATTTCATTGATTCAGAAGGCACTAACCAAAAGGATAATGTACAAACCGTTGTTGATAATGTCCTTTGAATGGAGATACTTAGGGGGAAAAAACCTTTGAGAATACAAGTTGGTGGGGGTTTTTTTTGTTTTTTTTAGTTAGCTGTTTCTTTTGTTTCTGTTTAGTTTTGTTCACTTAACAGTTATGAAGGAGTGAAATGTAACAAAGAAAATCTCATTTGTTCAAATTCCAGAAGAAGGATCCTAATATCCACTTTGGGTTTTAGCATTAACTTCATGCAAAGTATGCAAAAACAAAATAGCCGAATCTTCCAGTATCCCAAGTGTCTTGTGAAAGTTTATGAAGTTCTCAGTTGTGATATTTTTGCCAGTTGGAGAAAAAAAGAGTTTAATTTTAGCGTAATTTAAAACTTTCTGGTGAGTGCTCATAGGAGCTGGCTGCTCAACTGTCTTTAGTAACTGGAGATATAAGGGTCAGATATCATGAAAATGTCACCTTCATAAATATGTTAAAAGGAAATGAGCTATGACAGTCATTATTCTCATCCAGCTTCTGCACTATTAAAAATTGTTTAAATTCATGGGTACATATGAAATAATAGTATAGCTGAAAATACGTGTGAAATGAGTAACCCAAGTAGGACATTCATATGTTATCTAGAACTACTTTTCTGCAACACAAGCCTTGTAAAATACAGATACAAAGCACTATAACTTTTAACTGTCCGTGTCCCCTGTAGTGAATTATAATGATGAGCAATAGATCTGCAAATAATGAGAACTGATGTAAAAATCAGTAGGAAGCATTTTGAGTACGACTTCAGAGCATGTGTATGCTTTTAGATGGAATGCTGTCTCTTGAAGTTATGGCTGAGCTGTTACTAGAACCGGTCTTTTCAAGTCCCAAAAAACATAGGTCATGCCTTATCCACGGGGGAGAACCTTCCCAGAAGTTACATGTGATTACCTGTGCTGTGCTGTATATTACTTTCTAGTGGCCTCACTTCATAAAATGAAAAAAGGTCAAATTCTTCTGAAACTCCCTGAAGTCTTCCATCCATCACAAGGCCATGGACGTGGAGGTCTTTCCAGATAGATTTAATCATTCTCAAGGGTTCAAGTAAAACCTGGCATCTCCTGTGCCACTGAAGGAGTGTCTTGGAAATTAAGTGCAAGGCACATGTATGGTGGTGAATCCCAGGCACTTGAAAGTGACAGAAAGCCTAATCCCTACAATTGTCAGCCTTCTTGGAAATCATGCAGCCCACAAGCATATACTATTTAAAAAATAAATAAAGGACAACAGAAACACACACACCCCTGCCCCACCCAATAATGACTTGAGTGGGTAGGAAGTGATGACCTTCCTTGCCTCAAATGGAGCTTTGTCTTTGGAGGGTGGAGAGAGAATGTGGAGTGACGAGGTTCCACGACTTACTTACATGCTTCAAAAACATATAGAATATATTCACAAGTCAGATGCCTTGTCTTCATGTTTGCAGACAACTGAGACCCTGGTTCGATTCCTGGGTCGGGAAGATTTGCTGGAGAGGGGATAGGCTACCCATTCCAGTATTCTTGGGCTTCCCTCGTGGCTCAGCTGGTAAAGAATCCACCTGCAATACAGGAGGCCTGGGTTCGATCCCTGGGTTGGGAAGATTCCCCTGGAGAAGGGAAAGGCTACCCACTCCAGTATTCTGGCCTGGAGAATTCCATGGACTGTATAGTCCATGTGGTTGCAGAGTTGGACATGACTGAGCCACTTTCAGCCCCCTTGCTAAAAACCCACTTTCGTGTTTAATGTTCTTTTTCTTTGAACTGCACCATCAACACGGCCCTCAAAATCTAACCACCCTATAGGATATTCCGTCACATGGACTAGGTTCCTGGGAAGCTGGAAGCCATGATTCTTTAACTTTTTAAGCTGCCAGAATAGGAGGGAGAGAGAAAACATTCTTACCCATTTGATCACCAGAACACCAGTATGAGCAGAATCTGGAACCCAGTTCAAGGATGACCTGCAGCCATTCGTGTTCACAGGATTTGACAGCTGGAAACCCAAGATTACCCAAGGCTGCAAGGATACCATTGTGAAGAAATGGCTTGAAGGACTCCGGGTTCTCTCTTCAAGTGTTGTGATGTCTCCACAAAGAAGACTTCATATGGATTGGGGTGGACCAGAAAGCATCTAAACACCCAGAAAAGGACATAATCAAAGCTGATCTTTTTATACTATAGTACTTTGCTGTTAAATAACCCTAATATTGTATTTGCATTTATCTTTTGTTCATCTACTTTCACTTACAAACAGTATTATGTAATAGAGGAAAATGGAAAAATGCAAATGAGTTCAACTTTATTTTATACATTGTATATATGTACACCTGAACCGTTCATTTGGGTTTTGTTAAAGAGATAGTCACAAAGGGCTTATGCAAATCATTTTCAATTGATAATTAGAAAACTGAATAAGCAATCTGTGATCTACCAGTTTGTTTTATCTCAATCAGGATTATGAATCAAGAATTACTGTGTATTTCAGTCATTTTGATTTGAAGTAACTCTAAATATAAAATGATTACATGTAATGATGTCTCCCAGCCCTTCCATGTGGATATTTTTTAAGTGGACTTGTATGCTAATAATTCTAGACCAAAGTAAATATGGCAGAATATTTATACATGAAAAAATAATTTTGCAAATATTTTCTATAATTGTATTATTCGTTTAAAATGTTGATAGCTTGTGTTAGTTTCAGGGAGGGGTGTATATTTTGATAAAAAATACTTGACTTTGTAATTCTGTATATTCTATACAATTTATAGCAGAGCCGTTTTAAGACAGCCTTGTCACATTTTTTGTTAATTGTGAAAATTTTATTCGAAGTGATGTTTATGCATTGAGTACATAACGACCAACTAGAGTTAAAGTAAGTGTGAACAGTGAAACATACTGTATGCTGTACAAGATATATTGTAATTTGCTGTTTTAGCATCTGTATTTTGGTTAGAAGATATTATTAAATGCAGATGTTAAGGGTTGGAAAAGTCTAATTTTATTTTTAGAACTAATGGATATAAATTTGTTTTTGCTTGATTAAAATAGCTTATTCTTATGTTGTCTCTTTTTAAACATTTTAGTGTTAATTCTTTTGTGCAGCCAGGCAGCAATTTCATTTGTATGAGTCACAGCATTGTTTCACATATGATTCATTCGGTATATTTCTGTTTCCTTACTTGTTTACATTCCATGGTACCTGCTTACATGCTTAGGACTCAAATGGAATATGACATTAAAAAAAGCAGAATAAAAGAGACTGAAATCTTGTTATCATTTAGTGCTTCGATAGGCCTGATATTATGATAAACCTGAGTGTTGGAAGTATTCTACTCCAGTCATCCAAAGAAAACAGATTTCACTTATTAACTACCAGATATTTGGCAACATTCTTGCCACAGTCTATCTCATTCAGTCTTTTCCCAGCGACCCTACTTTATCTGCATTTTATAGGTGACTTTGAGAAGATCCCACAGCCAGCCAGCCAGGATCCTAACCCTTGTCTGCCTGACTCCAAAGCCCACGTTTTTGTTCCTTCTCTGCATCTTAGAGGGAAGTGCTTAATGTAAACTGGACAGAGAGTGAGGGAGAGACCTGACCAAGTAGCACAGCTTGTGATGGTAGCTGGCACATTCTCAGCTGTGACGAGGCCGTAGTCGGGTCAGCTCCCTGGACTCAACTCTGATTTGCTTACTGAGGCCTCAATACTTTGGGCATTTGGTCTCTCTTATATTTGAGTATATTGCTCTATGAAGTCAGTTTGTAAAAGTTTGTAAACTTTTTTTAATGTGGAGTGAAATTATGATTTAATGCTTTTGTAAACTAGCCATTTTTCACATAAAAAAATCTGTCCTGTCATCGCAGATCATACTCCCAACCTTAGCTACTTATCTGCAAATACAGGCAATTACTCACAATGGGTAATGTGACAGGAGAGCCAGAGGCTCAGGCAATACAGCCCATCAGCAGCACAGGGAAATTAGCTCAAGTGTCCAGCCCTGATTGCTGGTCCATAGCACCAATTTTGTGTTTGAAGGGCAACCCAAACCAGATTCTCCTAAAATTCTATAACTACTATCTGCTAAAAGGAACTATCTATCAAAACAGCAGAATTAATATTGAAAGAATTTGTAACAGTTGAGAAACTAGATTAAAACCATAAAAACAAATCACACAAAGTAGTCCTGTTTGTACATATTCTTTTTAAGATTTTTCTTGACATGTACCATTTTTTAAAAATCTGTATTGAATTTGTTACAGTATTGCTTCTGTTTTATGTTTGGGGTCTTTTTTTTTTTTTTTGCACTGAGGCATGTGAGATCTTAGCTCCCCAAACAGGGATCGAACTCACATGCCCTGCTTTGGAAGGTGAAGTCTTACCACTGAACTGCCAGGGAAGCCCCTATACATATCCTTTTAATGACTTCAGGTCTTTTTATCCTTACTGCTCACTTTCCTCTTTCTTATCTCTGATCGATTGATTTTGCTCCACTCCCTGTTTCCATCTATTCCTCTTTGCGGGGACAACAGTTCTCCCCATTTCAAGTTCTTTGTATCTGAGAACTCCTCAACTCACACCCGCATTGTGGTCTCTGTTAATCTAACCCCCTTTAGCTCCTCCTTTTCTTCTTCCCTCCCCAGTTTGCACCCATCCTGATTATTCAAGCAAGTGAGCAGATGAGCTGGTGTGCAATTTTTAACTAAACACTCCAAATTTAGATCTGGAAAAGCTGTTTATAGCAGAAATGGGGTTACGTTTTTATTATTTCCTTCTTGACATCTGAGATACCAACTAATTCTATGTAGTATGTTTTACTGAGAAGTCAAGATCATCTTTTTCAATAATTTTTAATGTGATGACTTTCTGTGTAATTATATGCTCAGTCATGTCCAACTGTGGCCCCATGAGCTGTAGCCCACCAGGCTCCTCGGTCCATGGAATTTTCCAGGCAAGAATACTGAAGTGAATTGCCATTCCCTTCTCCAGGGTATCTTCCCAACCCAGGGATCAA